ATAGAATTATATTGAATATTGTAATTTGTTTACAAGAGAGACATCCTATTTATAGCTTAACTTGATAGGAATGTTTTACTTTCTAATGACTAACTAACATGGACTAACTATTGTGTATATATGTATATACATTAACAAAATAAATGAGCCAGAGTGATGCCATTACCTAAGTCAAAGCAACGTTTAAAGACAGAACTTCCATGTCCGAGGTGAGGTGCTATGATCTACTGAAACCTACATCCAAAGTGATGAGCATTCGGTCCACAAGGCATATCCCTAACTTCGATTCATCCAAGAGATCCTCCATACAAGATCTTTCGTATAATTGATTAATTTAACATTTGTAAAGTAAACACCTCTCAATCAAGTTGTTAGTCTACTTTTCAAATAACATTGCTTCACATTCTCTCTTGAATCTAGTATCATACACATTCTTATCATTCTTCTGTTCATCCCACACAAAATACATAATTATACTTGAATGACTTGATTATCAGAGCGCTCGTAATCGCCTCTCCCACCTTTGGAGATGGTCAGGTGCGTTTAAAGATTTGTACAAGTTTGCAGGAGCCTTACACGTAAATGTAAGTGGAGTCGGGATATGTCGAAGCTGCCCAATTTAAAAGCGAGGCAAATAGACAGAATTAGACATTTGTTACATTTTAATTTCTATTGGTCCCTCTAATTCATTAAGAAATCTAATAGCGTGTTATTATTTTTGAGATTAATTAACTTAAAATTACCAGTAACTGTGAAATAGCAGCAAAAACTTTTTCGGATTAATAATTTAACATTTAATTTTTTTAAATAATGTTATCTAATACCAGTGATTCTATAACACCAGTGCAGCTGGTATTATGTGATAGACTCAATGAAATATGGAATTTAGCGATTCGTTTAATTGTACTTCTTATTTAATGTCACATTAGTGCAACCTAAACTGGTGTTTTAACAATTAGCACTAATGGTGATAAATAACATTACTTTAATTTTTTGGACTTTTTTTACGACGTACATGAACCTCATTTAGTAGATTTTAAGTTTGTAAAAATTATATTATTAAAATAATTAATTAGAGAATATTCATATGAAATTTTAATCTACTCCTTCAAACTAAGGAAAATTTTCACAATACGCACTCCGTAGATTGGGTATGGTTTTGAATGGTGTTGGACAAGAGAAAAAGTTAATATCAATTCTCAAGCTTTATGAGTTTACATATAATAAGATATTTTCATATTTTTAATATTATGTTAATTTTCCGTTGTTTGGTCCCAACTTTCTGAAAGCCACTTTTTCTCAAATTCATTTTCAATTATATATTCTTTATTCTTCACAAAAATAATTTTCCACGTAAAGTCAAAAATTTTCAATACTTTTTAATACATATATTTTTTCTGTTTTGTTAAAGTATGCAAAATAATATTTGATATTATTTATTATTTTGCAGGTTAAAATTAATTTCCTATCCATTTCAAGTTTGTTATTAGCTTTATATCATTTCAAGAATAATATATTGAAATTTGTTCCTATCATTTATGCAAAGAAGCTCACGAAAAAAAGACGACAAATTTAAATATTGTTAATAAAAATATATAATTTTATTTAATATTCGCAAATGGAAACAAATGTTAGTGATGTAATCAAGAGACTAGTAAAATAGATTTGTATAAAGATATATGAAAGATAAAGAAATTTTTGATAAGTCTTCCACCCCACCCAAAACATCAAACTCTGCCCTTTCCAACCAAGGAATGAACAAGACAACACAATTTGAATTGGAATCGAAATGGAAGTGCTAAATAATTTCTTTATTGGATGAAAATTTTAAAAATAATTATGTAGTCAAATATATAAAGTGTTCCATAATTCATAGTATAGGCTGCGATGCGTTATTCTTTGACAATATATATTGTAGTATTTATGACTATTTATTTATT